AACAGAAATTGACCCCAAGAGATGTACCATTTCACTAGCTCTAATGGCAATTCGGATGAAAGTCGACACTATGCGTGTGTCCAGCTGATGGGCTGTTCGCCTGACCAGTCACTAATAAATGTATTGACACAGAAAGTGCCCAACAGAAAATTGCCCAATAACATGATTGAACGGGTCGAGATGCTAAGGAGCCATTTTCCACAATTCTCGTTTCATAGTTCTTTTACAGCAAACTCCTTGCTAGTGACATTTAAAACGAATCCCACGAAACCTGACATGTTGAAGTTAATACGTATGGAATTAAGCCCGTGTCAGGTTTGTTTCTTTGATAATTTGACACATTAAGTGCCTTTATTTTTCACATCATATTCGGGGATATGTCGGAAACATGCAGTGCCAGAATTGATGATGACGTAGTATCACAGCTAGTTCTAATTGACGAAATGGAGAAAGAAAAATCCCGAAGGTCATGAGTTAAATTACAGTTTCTAATAGTCTAACGTATGCCAACATGTGAACAACTTGATTAGTATCGAACGTGTAATATTCAGAGTATAATTGTCAACGAATTGTTTTTAAAAGATCCTTAAATTTGTTTCGAAATGGTTTCATATTCAGCTACATTCAGCAAGTTTCATTTCAATACTGTTCACCAAAGCTCTAACTTTTTGGAATTCTAAAACCCTTATTTTGGCGTTTGCACTTATGAGAAGTTCGGTAATTTTGGGGATTTAGAGTAAGAAGAGATGATTCCATGTATAACATTTCTTGTTTCTTGAAAGACTTATTCTTCAGATATGGGAAATCACGAGTTGGTGCTTAAAACGATTAGATATAATAGAATAACCGATATTTAACCGTTGTCCTGTTAAATGTATCACATCTATAAAAGGGTTTTAACAAATGACCAATCATTCCTATGAACACTTCACCAGTGGCCATCTTCCCGGGATACATGATATGTAATTTTGTTACTAAGACGTGAGCTAAATGTGCTTGCTTGCAGTTTGAGTATTGACCTTGAGAGAATGTACACGACATTTCAGCCAGTTTATGTCAATGATGAAACAGATAATGGAAAATATATAAATTACAGCCCATACAAATTACTAATAATAGTGTGAGGTAAAATAGATGTGTTTTAATGACCTACGTCAGAGATTGGTACGATAAATATTGATTCTGTAACATGCATCCATGGATTTGCTATATATTATCAATGCGAATTAATCATCGTATGTGTTTGATTGAACTAGCCGGTATATAAAATCGAACCGTGTACTTTAGCCTAGTCTTTAACACCGACACTAAAACATGGAGCTTCGCTAATTGTGTCCTGAAAATTATTCATGTCGACCCAGTAAGTGCTTAATTGCGATAAAGTGCTCTGCTCCTCATTTGTATGAAAGTTCAATTAGGAAAAGACGCCTAGAATCGTCTTTCTACACTACAGTATACAGTACACATAACCAATTAGTTTTTTGTTTTGTTGGGCTTTTTTTCCAAAATGTTCCGTTTTTGGATATGGTCAATGTAAACGGAATACGATAATAAAAAACTAATAAGAGTTTTGAATTTATTTATCTACAAAATCTAAAACAAACAGCAACATTTGACCAGAATAGTCGTGTGATTAATTGCAGTAAGCACATATACGAAAGTCAGTGGAACACAAAATAGAATGGCGTTGGATGATAATCTGCCTATATGTATACATTATTTTGTCATTCGTGTTTCGATAATTGAATTCTGAAGTACGATTCTTGTTTAATAGTGCTTGAAATAGACATTTATGTACAACTCCATCTACCTAATTTTGTATAAGTAGCATTGGCATACTGCAGTTTGGACCTGCTGTATGTAATTCTACAGTTTGTATTGTAAAGTGTTATTTACTTGTGTGTCTTTTGTACAATCTTTCATGAGTCTTATACATGTTTCTATTTGAAAAATGTGGTTTTTTAATGGCTGGAACTTGATCCTATAGTACAAAGTAGCGTGATTCTCACAAATAACTGTACTGAGCTGGGGTCAAGATCAGTCTAGATACTCTCAAGGTCTGGTTTCACTTAAGATAAAGGTTTGATTTCACTACAATTAGACATTGCTGGGTATATTATCCACATAATCCGGTATTTTTCAATCACGGTTTTTAAAAACTGCAACCCTGGCAGAACTGACTAAGATCCAAGGATCTGTTTTTTGTGTCGACTGCCGTTTCACGGTCTTTCTCCTGTAATTTGCCTACACAATGGTAATTGACGGTTTAACCTATCTGGAACATCTTTTATTTTATATTTATCTTTATTTAATAGCCAAGTTCAAATACAAAGTATAAAGCGTTTTACATACGAAGATCGTTTGTGTAATTTGTATGAAACTGTTGCAGTACATCCGTTCTTTTTACGGATCGTTTTTTACTTTGTAATCTCGGTAATGTCGAGTTCTGTCTACCAGGTACATGTATTATAGGTATGCACACTAGTGTATCTATGTAACGATATACACAACATATGTAACTGATGATAATGTTACGATGTGTTCTGTTTTATCGTTTAAGGTGATCACTTTTTATTAGATATTCAAATTCAGTGTATAAGTCTGATATTTACCACACTTCTGCCCATAAACGAATTCTCCACGCGGTTTTTTTTATCAGTTCTAAACAAATAAAATCATAACACAATAAAAACAGTACACATTTGTTGTAGGTCGTATTCGCGGTCGAATTTGATTTCGCTATATTTGCACTCATGAAAGATGGCGTGAATTTAAATATCCACTGAATCAGAAACTCAAGAAACATACGATATATGCCTGTATGACTGGATACCAACGTATTGACAAGAGCGAAACGCAACCCCGCGAACTCGCCTAACCAAAGGACAACCACGAAATATTAGTCTCGTGACATAACACAATGATACAGTATGTTATAGAAGGGGTGGGTCACACTTTGTTCTAAACTTTCGATGTACAGATATATGTTTTCTGAAATCTCTGTTTACATCGTTTGTATTCACCTTAGAGTGTTATGCTGTTCATCCAAACAGCAGCCATGTTTAGTCAATATGATAAATGTTTGTTAATGATTGTTGTAGATCTAGTCTCCACAGGTAAGGTGATATGTCTTCATATTCAAAGTTTGTAGTGCTGTGTGTTACAGATCCCAGTGCTTCCGGTGTGAGTTATGAGATAAGTCTTTATACTTAATCTTTACAAGTTTTTGTTACAGATCCAAGTATTTCCGTTGTGAGTTATGAGATAAGTCTTTATACTTAATCTTTACAAGTTTTTGTTACAGATCCAAGTATTTCCGGTGTGAGTTATGAGATAATTCTTTATACTTAATCTTTACAAGTTTTTGTTACAGATCCAAGTATTTCCGGTGTGAGTTATGAGATAATTCTTTATACTTAATCTTTACAAGTTTTTGTTACAGATCCAAGTATTTCCGGTGTGAGTTATGAGATAAGTCTTTATACTTAATCTTTACAAGTTTTTGTTACAGATCCAAGTATTTCCGTTGTGAGTTATGAGATAAGTCTTTATACTTAATCTTTACAAGTTTTTGTTACAGATCCAAGTATTTCCGTTGTGAGTTATGAGATAAGTCTTTATACTTAATCTTTACAAGTTTTTGTTACAGATCCAAGTATTTCCGTTGTGAGTTATGAGATAAGTCTTTATACTTAATCTTTACAAGTTTTTGTTACAGATCCAAGTATTTCCGGTGTGAGTTATGAGATAATTCTTTATACTTAATCTTTACAAGTTTTTGTTACAGATCCAAGTATTTCCGTTGTGAGTTATGAGATAAGTCTTTATACTTAATCTTTACAAGTTTTTGTTACAGATCCAAGTATTTCCGGTGTGAGTTATGAGATAATTCTTTATACTTAATCTTTACAAGTTTTTGTTACAGATCCAAGTATTTCCGTTGTGAGTTATGAGATAATTCTTTATACTTAATCTTTACAAATTTTTGTTACAGATCCAAGTATTTCCGGTGTGAGTTATGAGATAATTCTTTATACTTAATCTTTACAAGTTTTTGTTACAGATCCAAGTATTTCCGGTGTGAGTTATGAGATAATTCTTTATACTTAATCTTTACAAGTTTTTGTTACAGATCCAAGTATTTCCGGTGTGAGTTATGAGATAATTCTTTATACTTAATCTTTACAAGTTTTTGTTACAGATCCAAGTATTTCCGGTGTGAGTTATGAGATAATTCTTTATACTTAATCTTTACAAGTTTTTGTTACAGATCCAAGTATTTCCGTTGTGAGTTATGAGATAATTCTTTATACTTAATCTTTACAAGTTTTTGTTACAGATCCAAGTATTTCCGGTGTGAGTTATGAGATAATTCTTTATACTTAATCTTTACAATTTTTTGTTACAGATCCAAGTATTTCCGTTGTGAGTTATGAGATAATTCTTTATACTTAATCTTTACAAGTTTTTGTTACAGATCCAAGTATTTCCGGTGTGAGTTATGAGATAATTCTTTATACTTAATCTTTACAAGTTTTTGTTACAGATCCAAGTATTTCCGGTGTGAGTTATGAGATAATTCTTTATACTTAATCTTTACAAGTTTTTGTTACAGATCCAAGTATTTCCGTTGTGAGTTATGAGATAATTCTTTATACTTAATCTTTACAAGTTTTTGTTACAGATCCAAGTATTTCCGGTGTGAGTTATGAGATAAGTTTTTATACTCAATCTTTATAAGTTTGTGTTTTTATATATTACAGATCCCAGTGTTTCCGGTGTGAGTTATGAGATAAGTTTTTATACTCAATCTTTATAAGTTTGTGTTTTTATATATTACAGATCCCAGTGTTTCCGGTGTGAGTTATGAGATAAGTTTTTATACTCAATCTTTACAATTTTGTGTTTTTATATATTACAGATCCCAGTGTTTCCGGTGTGAGTTATGAGATAAGTTTTTATACTCAATCTTTATAAGTTTGTATTTTTATATGTTACAGATCCCAGTGTTTCCGTTACAAGGAATGGAAGGTCCAGGCATTCCTCTAGTTAAAAGTGATGGATATTACGCTCGTTACGTCAGCACAGATCAACTAATAGAAGAAGACAAAATCACGATGAGTTCCGGAATCAAGTCCCCGCAGATCAAACAACATCTTGGACACAGATTGCGCAGACGCAAAGAGCTCATTGGCAGGCGGTCCATGGTAGTAGACCTGTCATGTCTGTTAAGCATTACCGGTGTTGTTGTGATAGTAATAGATACGGAACTGCAGTTTGCAGGAGTTGTTTCCCCTTTGGACGCCATATCAATCGCGATGCGCGCAATCACAACAGTGACAAGTTTGTTACTAGTAATGTCTGTCGTTGCCTATAACTTAATTGGCATTCAGTTGAAGATCGTTAGTGCGGGGCTAGACAATTGGCAACTCGTCATCACGTATAGTACTGTGTTTAAAATAGTCGCTGAGGCGATTGTTTGTTTCTTCCATCCATTTCCATTCGGTGATATAAAAATTCCGATGACTGTTGTTGAATTCGAGGCTGAGCGAGCCGAATTCAACACGCGGTATGTGCCGCTTAATTCCATTTTAGCCATTCTTATGTTTCTTAGATTATACATACTTGGACGATTCCTAGTGGTTCACAGTGACTTGTTCAAGGACACGACCGTTCAGAGTTTAGGGACGTTAAGTAAAGTAAACATTAACGCCCAGTTCGTATTTAAAGCTTTGATGACCACGCGACCTGGCACGTGTCTTTCTGCCATATTGGTGACGACATTGCTGATAAACAGTTGGTCGCTTAGAGTCTGCGAGTACCACACGAACCCGGCGGACGGGAAAGATCATTACGCGCAAGCTCTTTGGCTAACGGCCGTGACCTTTCTAACTTTAGGATACGGTGACGTCACACCACAAAGTATTTGTGGTAGAGTAATAGCAATACAAACAGGGCTTATGGGAGTCGGTATAATGGCACTGTGTGTCGCTGTTCTCGCCCGAAAACTCGAACAAACGAGACCTGAACGTTACGTTCATACATTCGTTCAACAAATTCACATGGATAAACTGAGACGTAACGCTGCGGCTGATGTTGTGAAACAGTCCTTCATTGTCTGGCGATTACGAAAGCGAGGCTACTCTATGAACCATACGTACGTTTTACGTCATCGCCGGAAATTATTGGACGCCATTAGAAAAATGAACCAATCGCATCTCACCAAGTCTCATCTACGTGAGTGTGCAATCGGGACGGTTGAGGTTTCCAAGGGCGTTCACCAGGTTAATGACATAGTTACCTCATTGAAGGAGGAGAACTTGCATGTTAATCAGAGGCTTGAAAACCTGGAGAAACTTGTTACTAACATACATTTCCAATTGTACGAGATGAAAGAGATTTTACGCGATAAGGAGTATTCAAAGAAAACTTGAGATATGATCTCCTGTCGACCTATTGATGACGATGATAACGATTATACTGATAATGATAAAGTCCGTTATAATATTCCTCGTTATATGCAATTCCCTGAGAAACGTTTATTGTGCACGATTTGTGCAGTGTTACTGATGATTGTTTCTATTAAAGTTCAGCCCACCATGATTTGTATTTAGCTTTAGTCATTCCTACATTGATATCACATTGTGATAATGTAACGGTTGGCTTTCCTTTTGTCAGTATGATTTGACCGGTTGCCATGTCCTTCTTTTTGGCTTCAGCAATACACTTATTTGTGAAAACACTATAAAGTCAGCATCTGAACCCCACTATCACAAAAACACTTACACGAATTTATCGAAGACTCATGGAATCATTCACAATTTCGCACAGACCGGGAGGCCACCGTTGAAATAATATAACTGATTGGATTACAGGCGGTGTAACACCAAACCAATTTTGTTTTACGCAGAAATCTACGTTAACGATGAAATCATATTAAAAATTTTGTTTATTCTATCACAGAGAATTATCAGACATCGTTACATGTTTGTACCAAGAGTTACATATATCGAAGTTCCAACTACTCGTTTGTCACAGAGAATTATCTAAGTAATACATATATATTTCGCTAAATCTCGTTTGTCTCTAAGAATTATCGAAGAAACAACAGCTTTTTATATCTGAATTCCATTGATATGGAAAAGTTATCCCAGTAGTTCACAGATTTCCGTCTTAACTCCCTTCATCACCTAGTCATACGACGCTGAAGGACATCATTCTATCTATCTGTTATCCAGATGGCATTTGTATTGATGATTTTTGTAATTTGACGATCATTTAAATGTTCATTTCAGACATTATTTCATAATATTAATACGTCTTTTTATTTAAATTGTAGCAGTGAATCGCTATTTACTGGAAAAAGTTCCCCAAAATCATCATCATCTGAATGATTTACGTAAAGCTGTGATACGTAGGTCAGCAAAACACCAACATGACGTCATGTTATTGTGATCTAGAACGAATCAATACTGATCTAATTCACGCATTTGTATACTAATTCCTTCGATCGCAGAGACATATTAGTTTAAACTATTCCTACAATTATTCCACTGTTTACCCAGCATGCCAGTTAGTCTTAGTTAGTCTTACATTTATGTAATAGATCCGTCTGCATTAGACAAAATTTTATTTAGACTCTAACTTATGCTGCAGTTTTATCTAAAAAGCAAAGACGTTTAGTTTGTTGCTTTTTTACATAACAGTTACGTTTCAGTGATTTGAAAGCTTTCGTCACAGTTTGTAGTACAGGAACAGTCGGTTTTTATAAGTCACATCTTAACTTTATAGTTTTGCTTACAACAAAGACATGAAAAGGATCACGAGTATATAGCGCAGAAGTGATGGTTTCAATCGGCTACATTTTCCCACCTACAACAAAAGTAATGGAATCAGGCCGTCACTCAGGTAATGATTTCAACCAATGACCCACCCACAGTTCCGCCTTGGACAGAGAAACGATGTATTTCGTCCGTCATACAAGTAATCATTTCAACCAATCACCCACCACAGTTCCGCCTTGGACAGAGAAACGATGTATTTCATCCGTCATACAAGTAATGATTTCAACCAATCACCCACCACAGTTCCGCCTTGGACAGAGAAACGATGTATTTCATCCGTCATACAAGTAATGATTTCAGCCAATCTCACACCCACAGTTCCGCCTTGGACAGAGAAACGATGTATTTCGTCCGTCATACAAGTAATGATTTCAACCAATCACCCACCCACAGTTCCGCCTTGGACAGAGAAACGATGTATTTCGTCCGTCATACAAGTAATGATTTCAGCCAATCTCACACCCACAGTTCCGCCTTGGACAGAGAAACGATGTATTTCATCCGTCATACAAGTAATCATTTCAACCAATCACCCACCACAGTTCCGCCTTGGACAGAGAAACGATGTATTTCGTCCGTCATACAAGTAATCATTTCAGCCAATCTCACACCCACAGTTCCGCCTTGGACAGAGAAACGATGTATTTCGTCCGTCATACAAGTAATGATTTCAGCCGATTACACACTCGGATCAAAATTCCGCCTTGGACAGAGAAACGATGTATTTCGTCCGTCATACAAGTAATCATTTCAGCCAATCTCACACCCACAGTTCCGCCTTGGACAGAGAAACGATGTATTTCGTCCGTCATACAAGTAATCATTTCAGCCGATTACACACTCGGATCAAAATTCCGCCTTGGACAGAGAAACGATGTATTTCGTCCGTCATACAAGTAATCATTTCAACCAATCACCCACCACAGTTCCGCCTTGGACAGAGAAACGATGTATTAAGTTCGTCATACACGTTATTGTTTGAGCCTGTCACATTTACAGTTCCGTCTACAACCCTGATGTTGTAACACAAATAATTATTATAAAAGATGATATCGTTCTTCTATTTGAACGAGAATGTGTAACGTATTACCAAGGTACCTCTTACATCTACAATTACCTATCAGTCGGCTCCTGTTGATTATGTCCATGCTACACAAACCTAGGTTTAACTAATATTTTTATTTTACCGACAGCAAATACGAAAAATTCACACTAGCATTCTAAAGCTACAATTCTAAAAACAATCAGGTCTTATCAATAAAGCAGTTTTAATTAGGACGTTTATACTATGCTAACGCAATTACTGTGACTATGTGAAGTTTAACATAATGAGACTGGAGACAGACATATGCATGTCTTGAATGCTCGTTCAATGGTTTCATATGCAGCTATTGAGGACATACCGCATCGCGCATGCGCAGATTTCTCGCTCCAGATGAACGATTTATTTACAATAGATTATATAGCGGTATTTTAAGATATGAATATATCGTTTTGCAGATAAAAAATGCAAAACATATGTCTCTGACCAAGAAGGAATATATGTTCTCCAAGATTTATTTCAAATAAATATTATTTACTGTGATGATCTAAAAAGCAGAACATAAACATCAGCACAAATAGAATAAAATGCTGAAATACCAACATGTTAATGCACAACATATCCATGCTTAATATAACATAATACAGAATTGATAAAATCCTTTTAAAAAATCTGTCTGAGCAATCTTACGTTGTTCATAGTATTTCTTGGTTAAGAATACTTTATATGCTTATCTAAACCGACACACTCGCTGACATCTTCTCCTGTTACTCAAAATCGGTCTCACTCACTCTTTTCTTTTCTTGACACTCCACCACAGTGTTTGTCATGAAGGAACTTGATTCTGTCACTCCACCACAGTGTTTGTCATGAAGGAACTTGATTCTGTCACTCCACCACAGTGTTTGACATGGAGGAACTTGATTCTGTCACTCCACCACAGTGTTTGTCATGGAGGAACTTGATTCTGTCACTCCACCACAGTGTTTGTCCTGAAGGAACTTGATTTCTGTCTACATTACTGTTCTAGGAATCTACCACTTGTCTCCTAATTATCATTCGGATCTAATGTATGGATGTTTTCTACAACATCAAAGCAATTCATATATTATTTTAAAATATTACAGTGAAAACTCTTTTCGAACCTGAAATCCTATGAGTGCTAAAAACAAAACAAAAATGATGACATAGTTTCCAAATCAAGGATATGAGTACAGAGATTTCACATAAAGAATACACGTACATAGTTTTCTCATTAAGCATACGAGTACATATGTAGTTTTCAAATGAAGAATAATAGTACATAGTGTTTACATAAATGAGAACACAATTTTCACAGAGAGCAAATTTTCACAGAGAGCAAATGAGTACACAGTTTTCACATAAAGAATATACTTACATGGTTTTCACATATAAAATTTAAGTACATAGTTTTAACACGAAGAGTACGCGTTGCATATTTTTCACATCAAGGATGTGAGTTTTAAGGAGGTATGTATCTAGTTATGGATTAGAATGAGATTTCATGTTACACATTGAATTCGTAATATCATCTTCAACAGTGTTGACTGACTCGATGGTAATCTCCTACAAAACACGTCACACTAACCTAGAAAAAAATTCAGGTGCGTCAAAATCCTGCAAAGTTTAGCTTCACAAGCATTTGTTAAAAACGTATGAATCAAGAAATGGATTGTCGATCATCTATACCTTTTTCAACATAAATGTTCTAAGCAGTGCCGATTTCAACTAATGACAAAGAAACTGACTATAGACGACTAAACGTAAAATAATGAAATACCTGTATATAACAACACTATCGTCACCTCAGGTTGTACAGTCTAATTATTGACTGTTAATTACAGACAGTAATTAGAGTATAATTAGAGTGTAATTACAACAGCAGTCATCATGAGGCGAAACAGTCATGCTGATCTTGAGAACTTGAAGAAGCTGGTAATGATGCGCTCAGGGAAAATAGGTCTCAATGAATTCGTTTACGTTGCTGAAGTGTGGCAATTTGCCATTCAAATTCAATGCAATAACTTTACCACTGAACGCTCCAAAGGTTCTGTATAATAATCTATTAGCTAACTGAAAATGAAGCTACGAATGCTTCAAGTATATTTATCTGACAAAAGTGCCTTGTAATGTAAGAAACGAGGCTGATATATTTTTATATACATACATATGATTGGGGTACTGACGCTGGCTGGTGTTCTGTTTTATGTCTAATGTAGGCTGCGGATGGATAGATAATCCACTGATGAGAATCAGACCCCTACTTTCTCACTACAATTTGTATACCAAATACGTCATAATCACTTAAGTATTGCTTTACTGAAAGAGATTACAAACATGACTTAAAACAGATCTATAATGAAGACCATCATTAGGTTAGGAGATATCATATTACCGGTTTTATCATTATAAAATACTTACGTTGCGGTTACCTGAAAGACATTTACCAAGAGGATCATAGGAATTTTCATTCGTATGATTTTTTATACGAAGAGTGCATTTCACCTATCAAGAAGAGGCTAGGTAAAATCAAATCCTGGCGGGTTTCATATATAGCATTTGAAATAGAATTAGAGTACATT